CTCTTTCAAAACCTGCTGAAAGAGAAAAAGAAAAATCTCTGTCCGAGCTCAGAGGACACCGGACAGAGTGAGGCGGACCGTGTCAGATGGGCCAAAGTGAGTTGATGGTCACTTAACTGTGCAGCAGCTCTCAGCCTGGAGTTCAGACAGAGGCGTCCAGTTTAATATGCAGAGTGCTGTAATGAGATGCCTCCATATCTGTAGCCACCACTGCCTCCTTCCTGTCAGAGCCAAGAGAGAAAGAAGGCAGATAAAAACATGTCATCAATACTTTTTTATGCCTTTAAACAGCGATACACTCTAAAAAAATAAGGTATGAAATGGACAAGTTCATTTACGATCAATAACCAGCAAAGCATTGTAAAAAATGTACTTTCACATGTCAGGTATGTCTGCCCCTTTCTCATCCATTTGCTTGTGTTTTCCCATCATTTACACACCACTGGCTCTGCATGAGAGCAGCATCTTCTCATTGTTAGCCGCACATAAAGAGAGACCCGAGATTCAAGTTTTTTAAGAGCAATGCACAAGTCTTTTCTGTGGCGAGCGCCGAGCAGACGCAGGGAGAGATGGGAGGCGAGGGGGGGAGGTGGGGGAGCCATTTTGTGCACTGCGTTGTCCAGCCGAGCGTAAAGCGTGATTAATTCAATAGCCGCCATAGAGGAGGAGGCTAGCAGCACTGCAACACCGAGCATGACCCACTTTCCCCATCAGATGTCATGAAAAATTCCCGTTCATCCCTCTCTGTGTTTCTCATTCCCCCTTCTCCAACTTCCTGCCTGATTAACAAAGAGACACAAGAGGAAAATTACAGAATCAATGCATGTGCAATATGTCTGAACTGATCGCAAGTGGCCACGGAGCGGGGAGGTTACACCAAAACATGCAGATTTTTGAAGATTTTATGAGGATGTTTTCAGCTTTTAGGAGTAAGAAATCAACAAAACTGCCTCTTTTGCTGGAAGGTTTTAGCCCATTGGGGCAAATGATTCATGGGGCCTTGACCTAATTCTATTATGCTACAGGATGTATGAGCAAAATACTGTCTGGGAGGACGACTATTCAAAACGCAGCTCTTAACGCTGACCTCGATCATCTCTGAGGTCCAACAGACTCGTATTTGTTGACCTGAATCTACAGCAGAGTATCCCCGTGTCTTAATCATGGGGAAGGAGGCTCTTTGAAGATGTGTTTTTTTAGGGGCACGAGTAGAGGGAGGAAGGAGGTTTTTTAAAAGCATGTGCAGAATACAAATGTAGCGAGATATTATTACTAACTTTCAAAAAGAAGTAGGAGTGAAACACTTCTTAAAGCACTTCTTTGCCTCAATTTGTCTTGACAGGGGATACCATCAACGTTAGCTTGAATCCCATCGTCAATCTTGGGAGGTTTTTTTCTGCCGCCCCCCCCTCCCTCCTGCCCCTGGAGAGGACCTACACCGCTGGCTTGGGTCTTAAACCCGGATTAAGGCTTTTTATGTAATCTGGTCTCCTCTGGGAGATTGGAGAGACAGCTGGCAACAGAATCCCTGTCCCTTATCTCTCGAACCTCCGCTGGCCTCCGACCAGCACATCCCTCAGCTCTGCCTCTGCATGCAGCATAGATTAGAGGAGCGACGATCTCTGGAGCCAGAAATGATTCCTTTTCAACATATGTGTGGGTCCAGTTTAAAACCACAAACACTGAAACAACCCCCAATATGTTACAAACACATATCAACTACAGCTTCAGTGATTAATCGATTAATACATCGATTGAGCAACAGGCAACCAAAAACTATCATTGCATTTATTTTTGTCTCCGTTTAGCACCTTTTACACTGTTGTCGCCCCACATGCAAGGTGCCTTCCTTTCAGCATGAACTCAGCTGCAAGCCTGACTCATCATTTTGTCAATTTAACAAAGTATAAAGCTGCCAGGAAGCAAAATACAAGAGAAAAATATAAAAATGTCCCAATCTGTAGTGACAATCAAAGTATTAATATAATTTTACAACTATACACTAATAGTCATTTTATAGAAACTTGATTTGTGCCTTTTACGTTGAAAAAAAAAGAAGAATAATTTAAAGTTTTTAAATGTATAAAACTAAACTATAATATCAATGAACACAGTAGATACTGTGTGTCTGTTACCGTGAATAAAACATGCTCAGTGTATTCACAGATAAATGGAGGAACTTTTTTTTTTGAAACAAAACTTTGTGTTCCAGCCTCTTAAATATGAATATTGGATGGTTTTCTTCGCCTTAAATTGAAAAACACTGTGTTTTTGGACAAAACGTGACCTCTGAAGACGTCACCTCGCACTCAGTATTTGATAATATTACTATACTATTCATATTTAAGTAAAACCTTCAGAAAATTAGGATCCTGAAAGTGATCTGCTTTTCCTTTAAAGGTCCATTACACTTCAGGAAAATACTTAATAACTCCACATGTAACGTGGTTTGAAGAAACTGAACATACACTGTAGCTCACATTCACTTGTTGCTCTGCAAAGATACAAATGCTAAAATACTTAATAACAAGAAAATAATGAGTAAAAAAAAAGGAGGATATTCCTCAGGTCCAGACCCTTAAACTATCATCACCTGTCTCACAGTTCCACCATAGACCAACACAGCACTGAGCCACCAGTCAGTGAAAGATGTATACGTTTGTGTGCAGCTCTGTAGCAAACATGATCACCGGTGAGGCTCCCAGTGCGTTGGTGATGACCGCTGAAACACATCAACGTGGTGACAGCAAGGTCAAACCACATGATAGGTGTGTTTTGTGTAAGCACAACTCAGACTGCATCTGAGTTTTAATCAATATACAACTGGGCCGCCTGATTAAATACACACGGCAGGTCGTGTTATAATTTTGTGCTTAATGAGCTTCATTCGTTTTAATCATCTCATGGATTTTAAAGACTCTTTTTTTCTTTTCAGTCAGAAAACAAAAACTGCAAATTAACAATTACACAGAGGAGGGAGGGAAAGGAAGTGATAAATGAGACTGCAAATATATTTTTTCCATTTCCACATAGCAACAATAACTCTGATTGGCAGACAGTGACATTACCTGTCTCTTCAGTCAAGGTCAACTGCTCCAGGAGCTTTTCTGTCCACAAATGATCTTTCAGCCGGCTGCAATACAGATCTATAAAAAGAAAAAAAACATTATTCAACTCATATTTAGTGGTTTATATGTTTCCCGCCATATGTTTAATCGTTTTATCAAACTCAAACCGTAGAAACATGTAGTTTAGGATTAGATGTGAAGGTTTAATCAGCTTTTTGAGCCAAATAGTGTAAAATATCAAATAAAATCATCAGTATGTTTTACTATTCTTGCTCCTTTATGATTGCCTGCATCTCTATTTACATATTACACAACAGAAACAGGAAGTATCTAATATTAATTCCTTACAATTCACATTTTTGGGGCCAATTTTCCAATTGATCAGAAGCTTATTTAATCAAAATCTGTATTACTTTTATTTACATTCATCTTTTTATAATTTGAGGGACTCATAATCTATTATCATTATTTCAATTTAAAAGAACTGAATGACTTCAGTTTCACACTATAATGTGCTTCCCTTCTAATATAAGAGGATTATAATATATTTGAATTGAGTCACAATCGTTCACATTTTGGGATTTTTGTCATCATTTAGAGCCACATTAAAATCATCCGGCCCTGATCCAGTCAGGGAGTCAGATTACAGACTGGAGCGCCCTCTTGTGGTCACTCTGGGGCCTTGCTTGACTCATTACATCACTTGTCAGGCAGAATTTAGAGGGGTTCCAGCTGAAAGGGGCTTGATAAAAATAAATATGGCGCTCGACGTTCGGTGGCTCATCTCGTGACTGAGGAGACATATGCTGACCTACATTTCTATGGCTTTTATCGCAAACGGCCGTGTGCTGCATGTGAGCTGAAATGAGAGTCCATTACATCTTTGGATGTATTGTATATAATCATTATTACAGTCATTATCATATTGTCTTTTTCCCTTGGGGCAAAAATGAAATGCTGGCCTCAATTAACCCATCTTCTCCCTCTTTCTGTGCTTTTCTTTACTGAAACACTTCCCAGGTCCAAATAAAAGATACATTTAGAGATAATTTATACAAAAAAAACAATAATTAATTCACGTACTAACAACAACAGCTGACTCCTCTGCTCCACTGTTGTCCAAAAACACATCAGTGAGCCACACTATTGCACTGGGTGACATGTTCCTTCATTACAATAAAACACACATACTGTAGTTCATTCTGACTCTCTCTCTCACTCACACACACACACACACACACACACACATACACACACACACACACACACTATCACCACAGCTTAATTCCCCAACAAATCCAGGTTTTACTCTTGTTTGAGTAACGCTCACTAAAACTACAGTGTCCAGCTGTTTCCCAAAATGGTTGAGCCTTTTTTTTTTTTTCTTTTTTATGGATGAGAGTACATTTATAATCTGTGTGTAAAGATTTAGGTCTTCTGTGGGAACAAACAGGCTGTGGGTTCAGCGCCACAGACAGTGTAGGGAAGTCTGAAAGTACTGCGAGACGGCCTGACGCACCGTTGTTTTTGTTTTTCATAGAATATAAGAAGCCTGAAATGTTTTTTCTCTACGTTTATACTGTGCTTTTTTTATGAATTGAGCACAAATTACACATTAAACCAGGAGCTTTCGGGGACCATGGGTAATCTACCTTTATATGAATCCCTTTTTCTTCCATTTGTCAAACAAGCATCTCTTTATTCACACTTTTCTCCAATCAGCTTAAAGTGAATACCAACATTAAACTATCCAGATAAAGTACTACACTGTATTTTCATTTCATTACGCATGAATTCAACTAAAATGCCTTTGTCTCAGTCTGAGAACATTAAAACCGATTCCACGCTTCAGTCCCTGCTCACTCTCTGCTCGGCCGAACCTCATCAGCTGTGTCTTTATTTATTTTATTTTATTTTTCTTGTATCTGGCAGGTGACCGGTTGGCCGACTCCACCATCACACTCGCGTTGGCCCTTGAACTCCTCTCTCTCGTGACCACGCCCCTTATTCCTCTACATCCAATCCCGACATGGAGCCCATCAAGGTCCAATCAGAAGGTGGACTGAATGTGACCCTCACCATCAGGCTGCTGATGCACGGCAAGGTATCACAAAAAAAAAAAAAAAAAAAAAAAATGGATTCAATTTTCCTTCTTTAATTATCTGTCAAAAAAAAAAAAGAAAATAGCTGATTTCAAGGGTCCCTGTGGCACAAATACACATAACAATGTTTCTGTGTTTCTGCAGGAGGTTGGAAGCATCATAGGAAAGGTATTTATCACCAACACAACAAGCAGACCATGTAAAGCATCATAACGCCTGCAGGAAATACACTAAGCATCTCAATATTGTTCCTTTTCTTTGCTTCCAGAAAGGAGAGACTGTGAAGAAAATGCGCGAAGACGTGAGTTCAACTTTTCAGCAAATATTCTAGCATTCTTAACACTCTGGGCTCTTAATCAAATATTGTTTTGCCCTTTGCTTTCATAGAGCGGAGCCCGTATCAACATCTCAGAGGGGAACTGCCCTGAACGGATAGTCACCATCACCGGGCCGACAGATGCTATTTTCAAGGCCTTTGCCATGATAGCCTACAAGTTTGAGGAGGTATTGTTGTGTATAATCTAAACTCTACAAAGGCTGTTTTTGAAGTTGCATTTACTTAAATAAAACCAGTCATACCACACTGTAGAAATACTCCGTTACAATTAAAGTTCCTACATTTTAAATGTTGCAACATGCAGGAAAATGCTTGTTTGGTCCAACCAACAGCCTAAATCTCATAATTATTGAAATTAATTAGAACAAACGCGAAGAAAAAGAAGACAATTCTCACATTTGAGAAGCTGGAATAATGACAAATTTGGTATTTTTACGTGAAAAATGACTTGACCAATAATGACAACATTTGCAGACTAATCAACCTATCATTTCAGCTCTACTTGTTGTAAGGCAGAGTGGTTCAAAACATATTTTCTCATGTGTTTCATCTGCAAAAATCTGCATCTTTTCAAGGAAATCACATCTGTAGTTAAGTGAAGTACTTGAGTAAACGCACTTAGTTACATTCCACCAGCGCTGTGCATGAGCGTGTGCACTGACTCATTTCCAAATGGAATACAAAGCAGAGTTGGCCCAGTTATGTGGGACAGAAATGTGCTGATCTAACCTTGCAGCACCCTTTGAAAGTGGGCCAGTGCTGTGTTTGAATTGGGTGTCTTATCAGCCGGACCGAGTCAAACTGTCTCCACAACACTGCAGATTAACCTGTGCAGAGAATGAGTATGAGCCAATGTGTGTGTGTGTGTGTGTGTGTGTGTGTGTGTGTGTGTGTGTGCGTGTGTTTATTTTCATGAAACAAAAAAGTAACCGTGCATTAATAATTTAAGAAAGTCTACTTTTCACTTCAAAAATCAACATGTAACACACATGTAATTTGCCCAAATCCTCCAATAAAATTGTGCCAAAAGGAAGTATGGGCAATGAAGTCAAAAAAGATAAGGTAAAAATGATGGTAAAAAATGACCATGCTGCCTGCAGAATGTAACAGTGCAACCTGAAGTACAGCGTAGATACATCTACATTGCTGCTGAAATATTTAAACTGCCACATTATTTTTACTCTGCTATTTCAAGGCAGTTCTGTGCTACAACATTTCAAATATCTCTGTTTCTTCTAGCAATGCAGGATAAATGCATGAAAGTGGATTTCTACAAAGCCACCGGTAACATGTTGTGAAGGACACAGTATTTATCTGATATTAGCTGGTCTCTGCTCCTCCTCAGGATATAATCAATTCCATGAGCAACAGTCCAGCCACCAGTAAACCCCCTGTAACCCTGAGGCTTGTCGTCCCAGCCAGCCAGTGTGGCTCCCTCATTGGCAAAGGAGGCTCCAAAATCAAAGAAATGAGAGAGGTAGAGTATATAGACACATACATTCTTCATTTGCAGCATACATCCTGAACTTGCTCTGTCTTCTTCTATCCTAGTCACCTCTATAAATACAATATGAATTAAACTTTTACCAGATATTAAAGTAAATGCTCCAGTTATACTGGTTTTGGAGGGTTTTCACTGTCTAAATTTATCCTTCATACAGTTCTCATGTAATCTTTCTAAAGCCCACACTTATTATTATACTTATACTTATTCATATAGTTTCCATTTAAGCTTTAAGTGCTGCATAGTCCTGCAACGTGTAAATCTTATTTTGCTGCTCTTTTTTTTAACTCTGTTTCAAGTTGATTAAAAAAAAAAAGAAGCAAAGAAGAATCACTCCCCACATGATTTCTTGTATTTTTACGTTTCCTTCTTACCTCCAGTCCACGGGAGCCCAGGTCCAGGTTGCAGGTGACATGCTCCCCAACTCCACCGAGAGAGCAGTGACGATCTCAGGGGCCCCAGAAGCCATCATCCAGTGTGTCAAACAGATATGTGTGGTGATGCTTGAGGTACAGTATGGAAGGGAGGAAAGAATAAAAATTAGGGAGATGAAGGAAACATCATTAACAGCGACCAGATGTTGTGATTGAAACCACTCATATGGAAGAGACAGTATATTTATTTTTAGTTATAATGGTTAAGATTTCAGTTTAATGTGACATTAAACACTTCAGCAGCTAGAACAGCATTTTTTACTTAATCTTTATTTTCTATTTCTGACTGACCAATCAATTTCAAAATCTTTTCAAAATATTTCCTAACCTCCATTATATAGTTTTTTCGACAATAAAAAAAACTACATAATAAATATGTGTTTCAATACAATGAAAATATAATAGCATAAGTCACTGCAGTGTAAGACAGGTTGTTGAGGAGGCAGGTCAAATTGAATTTAAATTAATGTGAAAATCCGACAAGCTTCACATTAAGTGTGAGTCTCTCTAGATTACCAATTCATCACCCAGGGAATGGCAGACCTGCCACTCACAATTAAAGCCTGTACAAAGAGAGGTAATTACTGCATATATTACACTGATGAAAATGAAAATCTTAAGGATCATAGCTTTAACACAGCTCTGAGTTTGATCTGCTGTATTGACCGCTCTCTGATGATAAAGCATGGCCTATTTCTGTGTTATTTACTGCTACTGTCTGATGCATCTGTTTGATTTTGTGTCTTGATGATTTAAGTTTGCAAATCTGCCCATCACTGTACTGCTGCTAACACATTTCTCTTGTCCAATAGCTAAAAAAAAATATAGAAGAAAGTGCTCGTGAGAGCGAGCAGGTGCCCTTCTCCTGCAGTTATGCCTAGAGGGTCAGGAGAAAAGTCAAAATAATCAGCTTGAGTGTTGAGCTTTTGGCTGAATTTTATTTACAATATTACTATGTTTCTGCTTGAGTCCGATTCATTGATGAGCGCTCACTGCTGTTACACACACTCCGATGGAGGCTTACTGCCAGGACATGTCGGAAGATTTGTCAAGCCATTGATTGTAAATAAAATTCCCCCCAAAGATCAATACACAAGGTGCTTATTTTGCTGTTCTTGACCTCTAGAGAGCTGCTTTTTTTTCTCCCCTGGATCAGTTTCTGCAAAATATAGACATTGGAGAAACAATCACTACGAGCTTGTAGCTCAATGTCCCCATTAGAATAAAAGGGCTACACACTTCATAGTTGTCTCTCTTTTTCATGCACCATTAATTTTAACTATCTGCACAGCCAGTTCTCCATTGGGCCTTCATGATGGCACCAGCCATGGATACTAGGAGATATGTGACATGAGTGTAAGTCTCTAGAACATGGACTTAAAAAGATGTTTCAAATACAGTATGTTCAGTCATCATTATCCAGTTGAAAGTGATGTTGCAGGTAAATCCAAGTTTAGTTGTGCACTGAACCACGATTTGGACATTTTATGTCAGCATGAACACACAGTGAAGAGCACTTTTGTTTTGAGTGTCACAGGCCGTCTTCCCTCAGGCACTGTCCCTGCTGGTCTCACTTTATGCAACTTCTTTCTTTCTCTCTGTCTATTTCTTTCTTTCTTTCTGCTCTAACACTCTCACCCCTTCTTCTGTCCCTCACTCTCTCCTCCTTTGCTCTCCTCAGTCCCCACCGAAAGGTGCCACCATTCCCTACCGCCCCAAGCCTGCCTCCACCCCTGTCATTTTTTCAGGTGGCCAGGTAAGAGCAGACCCACTGGGGGCGTCCACAGCCAACCTCAGCCTCTTACTGCAGCACCAGCCACTGCCTGTTAGTGTCGCACCAGGTTTTACTCACTTTTCCTCACTCCCCTACCCCCCCCTCCCCGACCCCCAACTAGCATGAACCCATCACTGCTGTTTACTGTGCCCTCACTGTCATCCATCACCCCAGCCACTCACAGCAGAACTGGGATAAATGACAAGAGTCTTTAAGTCTGGTGTCAGTTCATGTTACTCTGTGTCAGAGGATCCATGTTGTTTGGGAAATTGGCCGACTTACCTTTTAACTGATGAGAACAGAGTAAAGGATCCTGGTGTTCACCATCAACAGTTCTCCGTGTTAAACCTGAATGGACAAAGACAAAAAGACCCTGACTTTAGCTGATCAGCAGTAGACAAGAGGACAAAAGAGAGCAGGCTAGACTGAGGAGGCTAATGGTTAGCAGCAGGCTGTGTGGACAGGTAGATAAATCAGCTGATCTGCAGAGGAAGGAAAACTCAATAGGGACAACTAGTGGACTGAGTGTGAATGACAGGAGACAGAGAAGATATGATGGCCTGATAGTATTGTAAAGTTGGTCAAAAAAGTGCTTGTAGATAAGGATAGATTTAATTAGTCTCTCACGTCAACCCCAATCCACTAAGCTGTCAATTATTTTCTTGATTAATCAGTTAGTGGCTTGGTCAATAAAGTATCACAAAATTGTGAAAAATGCTGGTCATGATTTCCTCAAGTCAAAGATGACGTCTTCAAATAGATTGTTTGGCCAACTGTACAAATCCCAAGACTGACTTTTTTTTTGCACTTTTGCTGATTGATTAATCAATTAATGAACAAATCGCTTCTGCTCTAATTTAATCAGCTGCATTTGAGACAAGAGATTCTTTCGCCTTAACATGCAGTTTTCCTCTTAAGTTTCCCCTTTATTAAACTCCCCCTTAAGTAGCTTTGAGGTGGGGAAAAAAATTACCTTTTGTTTATTTCTTTTAAGTTTACTACAATATAAGACAAAGAAGAGCAGCCGACCCACAATGAAAAGGCTGGGAGCAGATAATTTGGCATTTTGTCAGATAAGTAATTCTAATAATCAACTAATCAAAAACTAGATTCATATGTTGTTCATGTGATTCCCTCAGCTCTATAATTGACTACCATTAACATGGTTCAGGATCATCTATTTACCATGAGGATACGAGTGATCATGACTAAACTGATATTCTCATCAATGAACAGGGAATTTTTATATTTCCATTAAATTGTATTGAATTTCAACTTCTGGGAAATACTGGGACAGGCAACTAAATATCTAAATCTGGAGGTCTATTGTTTGTTTTTTAACGTAAGAAATTGCTAGATTCACTGATCTGATTCCATATAGAGGCTCCACACGCCATTTTTCTCAGCACAGTGTAGTTGTGGTCCCTGTCTTGGCTGATGATATGAAGTTTAGCTCAGTTCTGACCTCTGTGGCACCTAGAAATGACACATCCAATAGGTCAAATCACATTACTCCTCTCAGGGCCACTCCTCTGGTCCCCCCCCACCCACACCCTCCCTGTTGCCTCCCCACTGTCTGTGTTGTCCCTTATTGATTTAGTTCAACTGGATCTGATTGATGAATAGCAGGAGAACATGACAGGGAGTCTATAGTGCATGACTGTCTTGTAATATGAGTGAAAATATAGCTCAAAAGATTAAAAATAAAACTTGTAGAAATGTCAATTATTGTTATTTTTTGGCCTAATTTTGTTACAGATTCAACAGTTTTACTTTGTCAAAGATTGATTAAATACAGTCCGTTTTATTTGAAGCCAATATTTTTGTGTTCTTGTTCCGATGATGTAACGAGATGACAATAAGCTCTTCTCCTCATGTTTGCAGGCTTATACCATTCAAGGACAGTACGCCATCCCTCATCCAGATGTGAGTGCTAACCCCACGAGGCAGTCCACACTGCACTCCCCATAACTCTGTCTCGCTGTATCCAAATTTCTCTCTCATCTCTCTCTTTGAGTCGCAGGCTCTTTTTGCTCTCTTTCCACCCTTATTAATATTAATTGTTAATATTAATACAGCTTTTTTTCTGATATGTATTTCCTATATCTTCTAACTTTTCTGACTCTTGCCCCCCTGCCCTCTGTTTGGAGTTAAACCTCATGGGGCTTGGCCTGGTGGCAGGTGGTTTCCTTTTGTTTCAACAATCACCCTGAGCCCTGAAATCTACTATATCACAGCAAGCATTATTTTCATTTTTATTCAGCTTCAGAAATGTGAGTTGACAAAAAGCCCTTCATATAAGATTAGAACCAGAAGACAAACAATGACTGAAGTAGTATCATGGATTAAAAAGGCTGCTTCAACTCCTTTGACAAGAATGCTACTTTAACAAAAATGTGTCAACGTAATCACATCTTTACTGTGATTGATTCGTTTAAAACCCCTATCCTCACAGTGATTGTCAAATTACAGCTTCACGAGCTGTGGTAGGTGGTGGTCTTTTTTCCAAAACCAAAAAACACAACAGCAGAAATGTAAGGTGTGTATTTATCCAGTCTAATAAGGTCCAACCTTCACAAGCATCACCCCAGTCTCAGGCCAAGTCCTTTATGAGCTCCTTCTCTTCTTCTGTCCTTTTCTCTCTTTCTCTGAGTCTTCGTCCTTCACCTGTCTGTGTTGTTACTTCTCCTCAGATCCTCTATTTACTCTTGTAGCATTTCGAACACACCTGTACGTGTGTGTGCCTGTGTGTGTGCGTGTCTGTGAGTGTGTGTGTGTGCGCGCGCGTTGTGCGTGAGTGTGTTTTTAACGATGACCTCATAGCTCTGCTGTCCTCCTCCTCCCCCCCTCAGCAGTTGAGCAAGCTCCACCAGTTGGCTATGCAGCAAACCCCCTTTACCCCCCTCGGACAGACCACCCCTGCCTTCCCCGGTACGTACCCACCTACACAACGACCCTCTTTACCAAAGCTCCTTCTCTCGTTTTTACCTGTAGAGACAAAGACATTCTCTTCCTCCTTTTTTTCTCTTTCTCTTCTTTTCCTGTCTCTGTCCTTTCTCTTTTTCTTCTTCTCGTCGTTCTCCTCCTAATAGTCTCTGTGGTGCACTGCCATTGACATGGCCTGCTGGTGGTCTGCTCTTGTTGATGTTGAGGTTTCTCTCGTTCTTTGGTTTTCCCTTAGCATCCTTTATTTAACGATTCAACTGCTTCAGATTGTTTCTTTCTTCAGTTCCAGAGTAGAATTCAAATAGTCGGTTGATAGGTTTTTTACCTAGTATATGTAGGCTCTGCTCAGGGCTGAGCCAGACTTCCCAGTGACACAGAAATGCTACCGGTCAATAGACAGGGAATTAAAAAACTCCAGGACTGCACTTCATCATTGTTACTCACTCCTTAAATGTGCCAAACTCTATTTTATGTCCTCTCCCTTCCCTCCTCTCTCTCTGTCTGCTTCCTGTGTTCAGCAGCAGGTCTGGATGCCAGTAACCAGGCCAGTACTCATGAACTCACCATTCCCAATGATGTGAGTACATTTGTCATAATGTGCAAAATGTCCACTTCTGAATACGACAACTGCTTCTTTTTTGTAAAAAGCTCAATTTTCCCTGACAGAGATTCATTCTAAACAATATTTCAAATGACACTGTGATTCAAAATGAGAGATTTGTCACTCGAAAACTGAGAGGATGGTTTTTGCTGCTGAAATACCGCCACACTCATTCAGCAGTTTTGGTCATTTGTAGCCACTTTGTGCCAATTTGTCATTGCCACTGCAACATACTGTGCTTTCAAAGTAAAAGACTGTTCAGAGTTAACATTATGATAGCAAACCTTTAAGAAAATCCATAAAGGCATATTTACTGACCCTATATTAAAGTCCATTTTAAGAGGAATTAGATTAATGAATTCTTCATTGATTGGTTAAATAAAGAAATCTGCTCCAAAACAACAAAATGAAACAAAGATGAGGCAGAACACGTGTCAGGAACTAACTGCAATCAAAGCCCGAATTCACAAACGTTGTTGGACCACAACGTCAAAAACTGTGGTTTCTTATCTTTCAACATGGCTTCCTGTTGAAGTTTACAGCGATTCAATGTGACAGCAGTTCAGCCGCAACTATTGAGATCTCCTTTTCCCCAGCAGAGATACAGCACAGCCAAAGGCAGCTGGCCGTGTAAAGTGAATGTCCTTAATGGAAAAGACTTGTTGGAGGCAAGAAAGAAGAATTAAAGTTATAGCTGAAAGCTGACAATGCTCACATGCTTCACAGAGAATCCAAGTCCCATCATATCAGAAGTAGCGTTGAATCAAGATGTGTGTATTTATATCTCTTTAATGTATTCTGGCCATCCTAAGACCAATCCCCATTTTCTTCCCAGCTAATAGGCTGCATAATCGGACGCCAGGGAACCAAAATCAACGAGATCCGTCAGATGTCTGGGGCGCAGATCAAAATTGCTAACGCCATGGAAGGGTCATCGGAGCGCCAGATCACCATCACAGGGACCCCCGCCAACATCAGCCTGGCCCAGTACCTCATCAATGCAAGGTCAGTGGCTGTTTGAGTTTGGTGTGAAGTGATCAAATGGAACAAACAGGGGGAAAAGTTAAAGCCCTCGTTCCTCCTTGTGAACATTTTTCACAGTATTGCTCTGACATGGAATTCTCTGTTTTGAAATAGCAAAGTGCCCAATTAGCTGCTCTTAGTTTGCCTGCAAAAGCTCTGGTCTCTTATCTTAATGAGCTTGAAACCTCTTGTCTGTCGGCATTTATCTTTGCTATTCTTTCTTTTTTTATTGCTTTCGACCATTGATGATGTTGCTGCACTCAGACTCTAATAATGTGTTGTGATTTAATATCGCAAAAGCAGCTAATTACAAAGTACTCTCAATGTAGTGAAGTAAAAAGTAAGGTTGGGGTGGCAAACAGTCATGTAATGCGTTACATTTTTCTCATTTAAACCATAAACAGCTTCAAAAACAATGTTTTTAGTTGCATAACCTTACCCATGACTTATAATTCAACATTTTAGAAAGTACAATTATTCGCTCTCTTGCCAAGACTTAGCTGAGAGGACTGAGTTCATGATGTCCCATGTGCAACTGTCTGCATAAAGAGTAAATACAGAAAACAACTCAAAGAAATGGTACAAAATCAGTTAATTTTTGCTGGCGTGTTTGGCCAAATTTGGGGTTAAACTTAGGCTGCTTTGGGGAAAAATGAGCCATTATTGCCTCCTTCTCCAATATCCCTGTTTAGGTTCAGAGACGTGGCGGCCATGTGGAATGACCCATCTTCCATGACCACATCCTGAGATCCCTGACTGGCTCCTCCGTTTGGCCCTTTCCAATGACTGACTACCGCAGACAACCCTGATGAAGCCCTTTGGACTCTGGCTCTGGCTCTCCGAAAACCTCGACCACCTTCCCACCCTGGTTCAAAATTGTTAGTGCATCAGAGAGGGATGGGTGCTCACTTTTATTTCAGAGAGCCAAATTAAACACACACACACACAAAAAAAAGAATTACAAAAAAGAAACTCTCTGTTGATTAGGTTTTTTAGAGAACTGTTGAAGCATGTTGAATGTTTATTAGGAACAACTTGTGTTAATCTTTCTTTCTTCTTTTTCTCTATTGCTTTCTCTTTCTCTCTGTCAGTGCTGCGTCATAGAACATCATTTAAAAGTATAAGAAGTACTAGTAAAAGATTGAACATTTTCGTAGAACGTAGTTATTTGCATATTACAGCTGCTCAGTGATGCTATCGGCAGAGTGTGTGGTGGGATGTAGCCAAATTATCAAATTTTGATAATACATTTTGAAAAGAAAAAAAAATTGGACTGTTCTGCGTTTGTCCTAATTTGCATCTTTGTCTACTTACAAATCCAATCTCTACCCATGACTCTTTGCTGCATCACATGACCCTTTTAAGCCAATGGTATCACTCCTCGAGCCTCCCTTCTCGTGTTAATTTCCTGTATTTACATTATTGCTTATATTGCATGTGTTCAGTGTCGTATCATTGTGTATTTGAGTAAGCCTGTTCAGTGTATGTGTTCCTTCACATGTTATTATTATATCTTTGTGCTCCTGTTCTTTTCCGCAAACTTTTTCAGCATTTTTGGCCATTCACGTCTAGTCCTACTCCCTGCCCAGACGAAAAACTTTCCGCCATAGCCTCCTTCTATCAACACCGATTATTAGTATATAGATGCATGAATGGGAATTAGTGAAAAATCAGTGGTGAAAACACTGACTGAAAATTTAAATGATTGTTTACTAACTTATTATTATTATACTGTATTTGTTTTGTACAAGGACTATTGTGACTTAGCACATTAGTCGACTACGCGGCGCTCATGCAATAGACTATTCAACACTTTACTCTGGACTGCCTCTGATGTGATGGGAGGAATTAGTTGGACTTAAAAGCCAAGTGTTGCGTCCAAACCTTTCTGCTTCCTTCCCTTGTGCCGGAAAGTATTCGCTAGGCTGCTAGCAAAAAAATAAAAAAATAAAAAACTTCTGGGTCCTTGTGGAAGCTTTTGAGAAAAGTCAAAAACAAGGGAAAGAAGCCGAATCTTAACGGCAAAGTGGCCCAAATGTTTGGACGAAGCCGAATGGTATTTTTTGAGCCAAGGAATGTTCAGGGGTTCATTGGGGGGAACCCACGGGGCCTGGGCGGACGTGACCACTCAGTCTCTTTTTCACGATTGTTCATCTTGTCATGTTCTTTTCGTTGTCATACGGTTGATTTGACGCTTTAGGTTTGAATGTCTTTTTATTGTCACGACTATGTCAGCAACTTAATTGTTTTTATTTAAAAAAGGACAGGTTGGATGACAATTCCTGCTTCGCTGGTTTTCAGTAAAACCGGTATGTATTTATTTACGATGTGGTGATGCACATATGACATTTTGTTTGTTGATCATGAAACTTAAGCTAAGTTAGTTTTGTTGTATTGTATTTTATTTGAGAGGGAGGTGTGGATGATATTTGGTACGATTCAGTGTTTCAACCATCCCACGCGTATTCTACTCATGAGGATGCTCTAATACTATTGGACAGCTTGAGTCATCTCATTTCTGAGCTTCAGCTGAGCTCAATTCAGTGTTGACGCATACAAACAGCTGTTGAATGTTATTGTTGAATCACGTTATCTACTGTCCAACACGGCAACATTCTGCATTTTCTTCATACGTACCACTACTTTTGTTTTATTTCCAGTAGCCTATGCTGAGCTAAAAGAAAAAGTTTGACATTTTGAGAAATATGTCGATTTGCTTTCTTGCTGAGTCTCAGACAAGACATTTGATACCAAACTCATGTCTGTACACTAAATACAAAGCTACCGCCATCAGCCAGCTAACTTAGCTTAGCATAAAGACTGGATATACAGCTAGAGCAAATACACATATTTGCAGAAATGTCAAATTTTTCTTTTAAGTTTGGCTCTTAAGCGCTTTGATGACATAAATGTGATTATGTAAATGGACCAAATGCTGTATCAATATACTGAAGGACGCATAGTCAGTGATTATTCTGCAATAATTCTTACATTTTGATGTGAACTCAAGTAGTAGTGCTAGCATTGACATTATGGATTTGTGTTTATTTTATTTTCAGTTGTCATAGCTTGTACTTCAGTGGAAATGTTTGTCAAATGAACAAGCTGAAATTCTGTTTTTTGGCAAACTTGCTTTTTAGAGCAGTTAGCTAATACCTAAGAGGGCATTCTTTCCGAATTACCCACATACTGTAACAGTGAAGAACATCCTCAAGGGTATTATGGCTTTTATACAACAGTTATCAGTGCATGTGTACCATTGAAATGTTTGCTTAAAACATGGATAATCAAGGATTGCTAATGGTTAATAGCACGTGCATTTGACAAATTATTGTTGTGTAATTTGAATTTGATTGCTAAGCAGGAATATTGAGTTGTAAGTGATGGCAGTGTGATTTCAATAACATCAATATTCATGTGTTACTCAGTGTTTGAAAACTGTATTTACATTTGTGTATATGCCTGAGTATACTACGACTTTGAAACAAACTGCAACTAATGCAATAATAGGGTGCAATGTGCAATTATTTATTCAGTTATTTAGTTATTAGCATAGATAACAGGAGAGCTGTGTAGCTTGTTGAAAAAAGCTTTTTTGAAATTTTACCACTATCCATGTGGCAGCAACAGCAGGAAAAAAAGAATGACTAGACATTTTTTTTTTGTTTTTTTTCAGCTTTCGTTTGTGTGTCTTGCAGTTTGGGGAAAAAAGTGATAGAACTTTGTAACTATTTTTGATTGATTTATTTGCTATGTGCAGATCTATATTAGTTGTGAGTAATTACATAGGTTTTAATTTCAAAGTGTTGGTAAGTATAAAAACAAATAAACTTTCATTTTTTCTTTCTGTGACTTGTTTTTCTCTGGTGTCTCTTTGCTGCCTCTTACACAAAATGACTGACTTCAGATCATTTCTCAACCATCTATGTGCACACATTAAAACCTGATGAACCATCAGCTGACAAGGGCCTATGTCGAGCAAAATCCCCTTAGGGAGTTTTTGATACTTATTGAATACGGCTAATTATTGTATGGCAAAGTGATTATGGTAATTTGGATGATGAGGTTTAAATGGGAATCTCATCTATCCTTTTTAAAAGATTGTTGTGCGATTTCAGTGGAACAAACATTAAAATCTGATTGAAAAAGGCAATTAAATATTACAAATTATACAATTAAGAGCTGATGCTTGCTTATTGTTTTGATGCAGTGGTTGTCAAAGAAGGGTTTGGGGACCTTGTGAGGTCTAATAGGACTTTTATAGAGATTCGCAGCATAATGAGAAATAACTAAAATTATTACAACTAACTATTTTTAATTTGTCCTAATTGGAGAAGCACTTAAGAATATTATTGAAATCAAAGGTTCCCTTTTCTCCACTAGTATTCCTGCAGCTACAGTACAGACAGTTAGATAATTCAATAATAAATCAATGACCAAACTAGTCCTCTCATATGAGGTTCTCCTGGGATCTTGTCAAACTGTCAAGATGTATTTGCCATAAAATGTTCCTGTATTAAACTCTGAAACTGTAGATCTAAGTAGTGACTCTAACTCCAAAACCTTCATCCAATTAGTGCAGATCCCTCACTCTTTACTATTATTTTGCACATCAAACCAATTTACAGGGAATTTCCCTGTCAAATATCCTCCGCCGCAAAATAACGTATGAGGGGCCATTACTTCTGTCTGTTGTCGAAAATCTAAAATCTAAAATCAGACAACAGACAGAGGGTAGGATCGCTCCCCTCTGCAGTGAAAGGCACAGAGTCATTTTACCATCTTGATATGAGCTGGCTCGTCTGCAAACTGCTCTGCCAGACCGCAGTTACCTACCAGGCAGCTCTCAGACAAGCGCTTCAGAGCCGTTTTTCCCTCCAGAACTCTATATTTTGCATTATTAAATTATGCAGCTATGTAGAAACTTTACTTGGATTAGGCCGAAGAAAAATAGATAACTCCAAGAGGCCACTTTCACTTTCTTTATCTCTGCTAATACCACTTAAACCAAGCAGCTGTGGGTATTAAACAGGTGAAAAGTTCATAAACAACACAGGATTTTTTGGAGGATTTTTTAAGCTCAATCACAAGAGATGTTTGCGAAAATAAGCTGGTCTGTGTGTGGAATAGTTCTGAGGCTGAGAAGATCCTCAAGGAGAGGATCATGGTGTCAGGCAGAGCAGTGACACCATGTGTGGTGGCCAGAGTTACACTGAGTTTATTTTAAAAGGACATTGATGGCTTAAAACCGGGCACAAGGTGATTCCAGGAAATGTAGGTTTCGTGCTGGTGAGACGGGACCCCCGCAGTTATAGCAAAACAGAGAAGGGTTCTGGGATTCAAAGGTAGATTAGGGATTTTTTGGTCAGAGCCAAGAAGCTGATAGGTAGGCAGGCTATGATCGTTGGCTGAGGTCCAGCACAGAGCTTTGTGGGCTGCCCCTGCCACTGCCACTCAACAGTCAGGACAAATGTATGCAGTGCAACAATAAACTTAAGCCTCAGCTGCTGTTATTGATAAGAAGAAACCAGTCAGAAGTGCAAATCAGAGATGCAGCAAATTCAGAAAGCTTTGCTGCTGCAGCTGGATGTCTCTATATGTATGGCTCTTGAATTATCATGCTCGCAGGAATGCGTCTCCAGAGTCACAGCACAACTGACGCCAGCATGACGACATAAAATAAAACAACATGAAATAAAAAATCCTTCTTTGACATCTGTCAAACTGTTGACAGGACAGCTCAAACTCAAAGGTCCCTGCATATTGAATTTTGAAAAATGAGTTCAAATGTGACACTTTTATATTTGTTAGTTTTCACTGGGCCTAGAAAAGCTATTTTTATGTTTGTGTCATCATCCCAATGTAAAGTCTATGGGCTGTTTGAGACTGAGCAGACAGCACCAGGCGGTAAAACCCTTTCCCACAACTCACTTCACAAAAACTTGTGAAAATTGCAAAACGATACTGGATGCTTTCATTAAATAGGGCAAGGGAGGCAAAAATCTTGGGCATGCCAGGAGATGTTCAATGAAACAAAGCCAGATGTTCAATGGAGAGCCAGATGTTCAATTAAAAAATCATGTTTGTTTCTATTCTAAATCGTAAGGCTGCTCTGAAGCTCAACCTTTAACAAAAAAGGACATCAGTACATCAAGTGGTCTATGTGCACCAGACTGTTCTCTCCTCAATCAATTTACCTTCAATAACGCTTCAATAAGGGTTTGTCCCACTGAACATGAAGCATAAAGGCATGCTCTGCCCCTGTGCTGGCTTGGCATGAAAGTTGGAGTGGGTCCATACTATCACTCAGCATTGCTGTAACCTGCTTACAGACAACCTTCTCTATAATGCAAAGGACTGATGTCACAGCAATGAGGGAGACAACGTGCAAATCTAAAAGTTGCTGCAAATCTCTAGAGGTAGCGAGCGTGAGGAGACTCCTGCCCGTCGAGATTCTCCTTCCTTTACCAATCTGATTCTGGACGCGGGGGTCTCAGTGCTGCTGTGTCCTCGGAAAGCATTTGCAAGCAGAGGGAGCAAAATCCAATGTCAGATAGTCTCTGCAGCGGGAAAGCATCATCAAATGTACTGAGTGTGGCCGCCTGAGAGGTCAACATAGACTGTGGGGCAGCACTTTGCTGCTTTCAGAGAGCGACTTCACAATGTCATCTGCAGCCAAACAGAAGGCACAGAGCGAGCAGAATGACATTAAAATGGTCTTTGTCTTCGTTCATGTGAATTAATCATCCGTTAGCATTTATATGACAAATATGTCTCATGAATAGTGTTAAGACAGAATCACTCTGTCTATAACGCTTATAGCCTACAAAGCTTCTAGTGAACTGGCTCAGCTCCATATCATTGTGATCCTGGGGGAGGGATTTATTTAAGATTGGTTACCCGGCAGGAATTTTGCCAGGAGTCCAACAAGATGAGTAAGGATGTTAAACAAATGCCTTGGCAGGTTTCACGTAGCTCAAACAGTGGAGAATGTGAAGTAAATCTATCGCCCTGATTCCCCAGGAGCGAGGAAAAAAAAAAACTGCTGTCAGGTCGTTCTGACATTTATGTGCATGCCTGGTGATTTTGGATACTGTCACAATAAAGCAAACTCATGCAGGCAAAAATGCCTGACTAGTCAATAAAATCAATGAATCTGCCTTTCAGCGAAATTGACAGGGTTGAACTCTGCACACGGCTGCCATTTAATCACACAGAGGCTTTTGAGAAAGTGCTGGCTGCATTCAGGTGGTCTTCACCTCACAGTAACTTCCAAAGTCTTGAGTGTGACAGGTTCCATATTGAAGCCCTCCATCAGGGACAGGACAATTGTAATCAATGTTTATGAAGAATGACAGAGCGTGACACGCAGGGCAAACAATCAGTCACAGACAGAGCATGAGGAGAATAAGCTGGCTGTAGGTTACGAAAATGGGGTTCAGGGACCTTTAGGGGTCGGGGAGGGGCTCAATTGGGTCATTGTGAAAGACACGATGACTCATTTATTTAATTTGGATGTAGGACGGCACTGTAATTGATTATGTGAGGCAGGACATTCACTCTGATCTCCAGTTTTCTACTTGTGCAAAGGTGGGTAAAAAAAGAGGTTCAGAGTCATTTAGAGCAAGTGAGCATGAAATTTAAATTTGATACATCAGTGGGTATGGTGGAGTGAGCAGAGAACAGATAGTGATAGAGTATAATGCAGAATGGGACAGCAACAGAAAGTCATTTCTGTCCGATTCAATATTTTTGTCAAGACATCAGCTGAATATTGAGTCTAGTCTACCAGAAATGATGTCAAATGTCTATCACAAGTTACTAGACAGCTAAACAGCAGCAAAAACCAAAACATCTCATCATTTTTTGATGACAGAGTTGCAAGAGGAGCTATTTCTGACACTGAAATCATCAATACAAAATATTAACAACTGTCTGACAAAATATCTGATTCTTTCATACAAATAGTGCAAAGTGCAACATAAGATTTTCAGGTGAGATGTTAACTAATGGTGTGCAAAGCATGCAAACATGTCAAAGTCTGTTTGGCTCTAAACTATGCTAAGCTAAGCTAACCAGTTGCAAGCTGTAGCTTCAAATTCAACACAATAGTATCAACCCTCTCATTTAAATCTCAGCAAGAAAGCAAATAAGTGTATTTACTATAATGTCAAACTATTCCTTTAAGTAAAAGTAGTGATACAACAATGCAAAAATACTACATATATATATATATATATATATGTATACTGTATGTGTGTATGTGTGTGTGTGTGTGTATATATATATATATACATATAATATATATACACATCCATCAACTATAGGCTACTTTAGGCTATACTTTAAGCAGCCTTATTAAATGTGATTAGTTATATTCCAGCAATGACTGATTATAAAAATGACAATACATGTTCTGTCTATAGTGTAATTGCTTTAGTATTAAAGGCTACAACATAATTATAACAGAGTTGGAAAAAATAATTAATAGCCGATTGGCGCCGCTGACAAACTGGCTGACGATCTTTGTACATTTCATACTGTCGATAAAGTTTGAGTTTCTGTTCGGGGAGGGGCTGTCTGTTCAGTAGTTTCCACTTTCCCCGGTGACTCGCGGGTCCGGCTGGGTGCTCCGGGACCTTGCGCACATCCACATCCACACACACACACACACACACACACACACACACACACACACACACACACACACACATACGCCGGCAGACACACTGCTGCTGCAAAGATGCACCGACAGGAGGTTGTGAACTGACATGAAAGTGTTGGCCCCGGACTCCTGGATTGGATGCATTTCATTTTCACTACTTGGCTGTTCCAGGGGACGTGCGGTTATTTTGCAAAGGATGAGGCGATGTTTTTCTCCGTTTTTTTGTTCCTGGATGTCAGATCTGACAAAAGCATCTCCCCCGAGACAGCACGGTCATCTGAGCCGGACAGAGTGAAGCTATCAGGTCGGTGTCGAGTCAATAACGATCTAAGCTCACTTTTATTTCCATCGTTTTTTATTAGTTTAGCCACCTCTGCAAGAGAATATTATAGACGTGAATATGTGACCGGAGGAAGATTTATTCAAGTGTTAAATATTATGCACTAATTAATTGGCAAGTTGATTTTTGTTTCTATCTGTGGGCGTTTATTTTAAAAAGAGCTTATCACCAATTGGAGGCCATTATTTACACAAAAACACATGCTCTCTGAAGATGTTTTTATAATATTGTTAAGGGACCTTTAGCTTGTTTAAAGTTGCAGTTATTTATTTTCATAGTAAATAAGTCTGTTGTTTGTTGTCAAGATTAATTAATCGATTACATTTGGGTTTTACCAAAACCCAAAGTGACATCTTTAAATGTCTTGATTCTGCAAAGCACAGAAATGTTCAATTTATCATCACATAAGACGAAGAAATCTGCAAATATTCATATGTAGAATCAGAAGGGATGTTGGACCCAGTTCATCATCATCATTATTATTATTAATATGAAGCATGTGTTCTTTACAAAGCAATTTATAGCTATGATCAAAATTGTTGCAGACTAAATGTTTCAGCTTGAACTGTTTTATCTTCCTTATTTCTAAATTAGTGGATTTACAGTTGCAACATCTATTTTCTCTATAGTATCCCTATAATATTCCTATAATACTCTTACAAGGACTTATGCTGTCTATACTGGGTCTTGTGCGCCTCCAATAATATTCCTGCACAGATTTAGTTTTTCTGAGACATTTAGCTTATCAATATTAATATCATCCTCGGGCTCTTGGAGAAATCAGAAATTTGTTTGACATTCATCATCCTGATCAAAAAGCTGCTTATCAATTTGTTCTTTGTGCTGTTATCTTCAAGCCAATACATTGTGTCCTGTACTCATTTTAATAAGCATTCTGCCCTTTACTGCTCTCATATACATCACTGTTAATCTTATAGACTAGACTAGTTTGTTTTATTACAAATCAGTGTTTTCAAAGTTCATCTGCTGCATGTTGATGAGCCCACACCTGGGTTTTCATTTTCTCGCAGGGACAAATCTTGAGCGGAAGGACCCATACTAAAGAAACATGCTATTATTATGATAATGTTGAACTTTACGAGCTTCCCCTCCAAGGAGGAAGAAGTCTGAAGAGAAGAAAGTGTGTAGAAATTGAACTGAATAGGTGGTTGTTATGGGATGGGACCAGAAATTTAACAACCTAAAATTTATCCAAAGCATATTGGAAGTTAGAAGAGTTGTCAGTCGATCTTCAAATTCACATCACATCAGGCTTTAATAGCATTTTTTAACAGCAAAGCACCAATCTACTGCAGCAAAATAAAAAAAAAACCTGACATTCTCTTTATCTCACATTTCCTCTTCTTCTATCTTTTTATATCTCTCACACAGGTTTCTTCCAATCAGCCGAGAAGACGTTTCCACTCACCCTGGATACGTGATCATGACTGGGCCTGTCAAGACACTTCCTTCCTCCTCAGCTGTGCTGTGCTTTGACCTCTCATGTAGCTGAATGCAACTCTTTGGATACTTGCTCCTTTTGTCTTGGATCAGGGCTGAGTTCTGTATCACTGCCGAGGTAAATGATGAATGATAATGTCCAAGTGAATGATGTGAATGAAACACAGCTCGTCGTTCTACAGTGACAACTGTCCATCAGATTGATCGAACTTCACCTCAAACTGGATTCTCTGGATTGTATCTCATGTCTCATCGATACCTCCCCACTAATATACCTTCCCACAGCCCGTTGTGTTGTTTTAATGCAGGGCTGATTTCACCCTGAACGCCCGCTAATGGGGGCCTCTCAAAGGTGTAGGTCATCCACAAAACCTCCTTCCTGTAGAACAGTGTGGCTCCTGTCGATGATTATGACGACATATGCTTGCCCTAAGACCTGTCACTGCACGGACAGGAACGGCATGGTGGTGCAGTGCACATCGCGCAACTTGGAGAACATCCCGTCAAACTTGCCCAAGGACACTGTCGTTCTCTTGCTTTCGTCAAACCGGATCAGACACATCCCAAAGGAGGTGTTCACAGACCTCCACCGCCTCAGGGAGTTGGACTTATCGCATAACGCTATAGAGAGTGTGGAGGCTGGTGCCTTCCAAGGGATTTCAGAAGGTCTGCGGACCTTGGATCTTTCAAACAACCACCTGAGCAGCCTCCCTAAGGACACATTCACCAAGCTCTATGCCCGCATCCGCCTCTCCCACAACCCCTGGCACTGCGAGTGCTCTTTGCAGGAGGTGCTGAGGGAGCTGAGGCTGGACCCCGAGACGGTGAACGAGGTCAGCTGCTACACGTCGGTGCAAGAGGAGTACGTGGGTCAACCGGTGATCCAGGTCCTGGACTCGGGGATCAACTTTTGCAACTTCCATCACAAGACGACAGACGTGGCCATGTTTGTGGCCATGTTCTGCTGGTTCTCCATGGTGACGGCTTACATCATTTACTACATCAAACACAACCAGGAGGATGCCAGGAGGCACATGGAGTACCTCAAGTCCCTGCCCAGCACCTCCCACATCAGCAAGGACTACGACACAGCCAGCAGTGTGTTCTAGTGTGTTTGAGAAGATGCAATTACACCAATGAATATATGATGAACGTGCACCGATGAATACAGATGAAAGTGTCCCAATGAATATGTTTACAGAAGATAACAAATACTGATAAGTGACAAGTTTGCAGCAAGTGATTAAACTTTGATAGCTGCTGCACAGAGACTTTAGAGGGAGGTTTAAAAAAATCTCATCATCATCATCAAGTACTGTCTTAAAGGCACCAACAGACTCTTTAAAACTGCTAAAAAAACGTTTAGCTCCTTAAAAAGTTACTCTAAATTTGTGACCAGCAGGAAAACAGTTAATATTTAGACGTTTCAGCATCTTGATTTGTTTACCCTCCATGCAAACGAAAGGTGGCAGATCATTATTTTTCACTCAGCTGTTATGTATAATGCATAAAAGCGTCTCTAAGGTAAACTTTACCAAAAGCAGTTTTGCATATAATTATGTGGTTTATGAATTCCCAGTGAATTCAACCACAGTGTGAGGCGAACCTGAGCGCCACTTTCGTGTCAATCAGAGTTCAGTGAAATGAGGTACCTGGGAAATAATCCTCACAGCTTCAAATGTCAGTATTTGTGGGGAAGTATCACTTCCAAGTTTAAAATTGTTTTTGTGAGGAAGTGTTTTATGATATATTTCAAAACAGTAAATCCTGACTGAGGACTTCTGAGGGAGTAGCAGAGGAAGGAAAAAGTATTTCAATGTTTTACCTGTTAAATTCCCTGTCGAAACTACTGCACATTTTACTCTTAATGTAAGGAGTTTGTATATTTAATAGTCCATAAAGGATGTAGGCCAGTAGTGGAGGTACTGTATGGTGGCACTGAACCTTCCTACATCTTACATTTAAGGTGGAATTGCAACCAGGAATTCAATTTCAAGTTTGAACACCTTACTTAATGTTTTGCATCAAAATATAATCACTTTGTCACTTTTGGGAGCGAAAATAATCAATTTGTGTCACAGAAAACCTCTGTTAGATGAGCTTGTCTGAGATATTGAACAAATACTGCTGAGATTTCTATCCCTATAAATTTTACAGGCTTTTATAAATATCTCAAGTTTAAGGTAGTAGAAAGCATTATGAATAAAAGGATTACGTATATATATAGGGAAAGCAACTAAAAGTCTTATTCCAGCACCTTTTAGTCATGTTAAACAACATAATAGGAACAACAATTTGTGCACTCACTCAATCTGAATTTCTTCTTCTACGTCGGACGTCGGTGCAGGAGAAAACAAACATGTTGCAGCAGTTTCAGTCAGCCTTCTGCAGACAGATCTCTCACTTCCTGTTGTGCCGGACACCTGAAATTAAGCCATTTCACATGGTTTTACAAAGTCAAGTTTCCATCCAAACAGAGAGCAAATTTTAACTGAGTTTCTATCCACCACTGGTAAAATTGCAAAAATTGCGAGTTGGGTGCATTGAGATAATTCTCCAGTCTGGTGCCCTTATACCATTACAGAAGAAGAAGATGCAATAAGATAATGTAATTAAAAGAAAATGTGCACTTTTATCCACATTTTTTAATGATATCACATCTCTGTCTTATAGTTTCCCTTCACCTGTCAATAAAAATAACTTATAATGCATTTGATCAGTTAACTAATTCATAGAGAGATCATAGACCAGCCATTAGGGAAAGTTACAGACACACAAACATGGTAGAAATGTATAATATGTATAATGCCCAAATATAAATTTTATTGTAAGTATAATTTGTCAAGGTTGTGCAGAAATTGAGTCTGGTGCAGACGAAAAAAACACACCCAAAGTAGTGCAAGTAAGCGATCCAAGGATGGTGACGGTGTATAATGATTGTCGTCTTGTTAAAAAGAACCAATGTTGAATGTTGGCAGGAAATGGGAGGCAAACTGTGGTCTCGTGACTTTTCCCTATGTGGCTCTCTAACATCCTTTGCTCCCGAAGGCCAAGAGTCATAATCCTACGGCCCTACAGTTATCTCGCTTATATCTATTATAGTGCCACTTCTTTGAGTCAGAGTGATGAAACAGGTGTATCCTTTAAGTACAGTTATGACTACTGCAGCATCATGTCAACTCAAGTCAATTTTCCAGTGGCTGTATTTACGCTGAGCGCCAGCCTTTTCATGGGTCTATGAGCATCTCATCCTGTCGCTCAATAAGTCCAATACAGATGTCTTGCGATGTCAAAAGCCCTTTTTCTCCCTCAGGAAAACTGTTAAGTATCAGTGAGGTAATGACTCTGTTTGTTTTCTGGAGAAAGATTTGAGTCCCGCATTGAATTCTGTATTTTCTAAGGCCGTTGATGTCACAGCGTCAAATCTCTCACACCCTCCTGTGCCAGCTCATGCAGCTGTAACACATCCCTCACAATGAGATCCTGTTATTTATTCTTCCAGATTACTATGAAAAATACCCACAGCTCCAAATATGGAAGCCATATATCTTCAGCTGCAAAGATCTGGATGAGGCAGAATATTAATACGTGTCTCGCAACCCAAAAATAGTTTCATCCTGCTAACAGTTAAAATCCATAAATCTAATGAGCCTTCAGAGGGCTTTGTACAAGGCATTACGAGGGCTGCTCATTTAGTATGTATATTATATAATCATATGAATGACTTGATTCTTCTGTTTATTCTTTCTCATTGCTCCATTGAGCACTTAATATATTTTGTATTGTATCTAATGCTGACCTTGCAGTCTCTAAAACTTGACCTATCCCTCCTGCCAAACGGTCACAACATTAATTACACTCCATGTAACTTTGCCTTACAGGTCCTGAGGCACTGCGGTGTATATCATAATGAACTGAATGTTATTAATTAGCAGTTACAGTTGAGGTCAGTGTGTCTCCTTATGTTTGTTCAGTGTGGCACATCATAAGTGCTCTAGCTAAATCAGAAGGAAATAACAGCTTTCTTCAATACTTCCATCAGTGTATCATAATTACCTCTTACATTGTACATTGCACTTACATATTTCTCCTAAACTTCAGCTAAAGCATCATCTAAGTGAAACACATGAAGGTAGCTGATTTTTAACAGACACCAAAATGTAATTTTTTTAATATTAGGCCAAAAAAAATGGTGTTTCTATTTGCTGGAGGCTCTGACATTTTGCAGTTGAAGTCTGCTTCAGTCTGGCTTTCTCATGCAATATGATTGCTTTGAGTTCCCAGTATTTTTAGTCGCCTTTACCCCTGATGTTGGTCTGATACTTCAAAATCACAGCACTAGTGATGGAAGGAGGACACTGATTGTCTAAATGACTCACTCCTCAAACTGACCACAAATTCAGTCTCCACAAGCTGTTGATATTCGAGTGCCCGTATTGCTGAACAAGCAGCATTCAGAACAAGAACATAACAGAACAGACATATTCATACACCAACACAAACGTACATTCATACAAGAAATGTTAACAATGGTGCAGTGCAGTACAAAACGAACAGTCACACTGTTATTCTGTTGGTGCATAATAAAAATGAGTAACTCCCTTCATTGTATTCTGTACTATAAGTCTTTAGATTGTTGGCACATGTGCTGTTTTATTAATGTGGTATTATTCAGTATTTTTATTTACTCAAATCCATCACAGTGTCGTTGATTTATGATGTGCATTTGCCAGCTTCAAAATGGTAGAATAAAAAACCCTTTATGGAGATTTACCATTTCTTTACAGATTTCCCGAAGGCCACCCCGTGTCTTCACTCATCAACACAGTCCTTCAGTAGAATAGAAAACGTCAAGAGGTGAATGTATATGCATTGTGGTTTTAGTTTCTCTCTTATCGCTGTCTGCAGCCAGTCCAGTTTAGGGCTCTCTCAAGGTAAATTCATTCTTGAGTGTCTAATAAATTAAATACAAACCTGTTAACAAGGGATCTATACTGAGCAATGGTAAGCCATATTAAAACCATTATCTTCCACTCTCTAATAAATAATTCTGACATTTTTTCCAACTCACAGATCTACCCAACTTTTGACCTTAGCCTAGCAAAAAGGTTTAAACAATGGGAAAACAGAAAGGGCTCTTGAAAGACAATGCCATGTGACCACGTGGCCTAATGGACAAGGCGTCTGACTTCGGATCAGAAGATTGAGGGTTCGAGTCCCTTCGTGGTTAGGATTTGCATCATACTTGTGTGTCATAGGAAAAAACAATACCTGCTACAATGGTGTGACAAAGAACAAACACATCTGATTGTGCTCCAATGAAACAAATATACTGGTCATTTACTGCTCCACAGAAACCAATACAACAGAGAATGCCAGTATCTCTGTTTCAAGTTTGCTAATTCCTCTCCACAAACCAAACATCCAAAATAGATCAACTGCTGTTTGTTCTGACTTGTTTTCACTCTAGAGCAAAGGTTACCGAAAACAGTGCTAATAACGCCACCCATCACTCGCAATGGGTGCTTCACTGCTGTCGTAGTTGATGGTAGGCTACCAATAAGACCATTATCTTCCACTCTATTATAAATATGACATTTTGTCCAACTTGACTTTTGAGCTGAGCCCAACACGAAGGTGAAAACAATGAAAAATGAAAAAGGCCCTTTAAATTAGAGGAGGTGTGACCACGTGGCCTAATGGACAAGGCGTCTGACTTCGGATCAGAAGATTGAGGGTTCGAGTCCCTTCGTGGTTGATATTCGCATGATACTTGTCTCTGGATGTCAAGTGTTTGGTGGAACTGTCACAGAAATGACAATTACTGCTACAGTGGTGTGATGACACTTGAGAAAACACACATTCTTTTGCTCCAAAGAAACATACTGGAATACAATGGTCTGTCTTTGTGGAAATTGTAAGATGTCAGTGTCTGTCACACATACACACTCCTCACCTTTATCAGTCAGAGCTGATGCATCATTGTTCAAGGCTCATGCATCTGCAGGAGAGACAGAATGAGAGGAATGTTACACTGAGGTGCCCTTAAACTGTGACAATACAGTACAATAAAGTTATAGCAGTGGAGTGCAATACAGAATGTACAATA